CCGCATTTTTGTTTTTGCCTCAAAGGAGTTGACTCTACAAAAAATGACGGTGTATACTCCGGACTATTCCTCGAGTTCGTCACGGCTACTTGTCCTAATTGCAGGTATAATGTCAAAATAAAAGTTGACGCTCGGGATGGGTTGGCATCTATACCATTTTCCGCATCGAGCAGTGGGCTGGCTCTCCCAATACGACCCCGTAAGTATCTTGACGCTGTAAAACCTGATTTTATATAACAAAACAAATTACATTTATTTCCGGTGGTGTTTTTGGCACATTTGTAATTTAAATTTTACAGTTTTCATCTTTGATTTAAATGTTTCATTTTAGACCAGTTTAGAGATGTTATATTGTAACTTGTTACAATTTGTTGTGTTCGCTTATAGCTGGACCAAAGGAAGAAAGCAATATTACGGTTCCTATTGATGATTTCGATCGTGTGGATACTGGTGGTGCAATCCAAGCTCCAGTAACTGTCAGTGATGATGATGAATTCCCACCATCGAGAATTACCGATCTACGAGTCACTGAGACATCCTATGATGACCAGACTGTTACATTAGAATGGACGGCACCTGGCAATGATTTAGACAAAGGGGCAGGTAAATATTTAGTAGAATGAATTACAACATCTTTGGGAAATTGCGTTACAGATTACTGAAATATTAAGTTATAACATCATTGAATTTCGTATTAAGCAAAGACGATATGTACTAGACTGCTTAATGTTTGTTTTGTCAATTCGATAACGTAATCAATATGTTTTACAATATATAACTAATTTCGAAAAAATGATGAGTTTCTGCAACCTCTTTATTTATTTGGGTCTGCAAATTGTACTGAATATCCATTAATGCGTTAGTTGCAGCTTGTTTATTTCGGAAGATATGAATATGCATAGATAGTCTACATGCATTGTAATATACAAATTGCAAAACATTTGTACATAAATAAGCAACACGGAATTCAAACTCATGACCACGGCAATTGAACCTCGTATCCTTATAAAGAAGCGCATCTCACTACGTCATTCTGACTGGTTAAATGCAAATATATTTGTTATTTCAGCTGATGGTTATGACCTGAGATACAGTAGAAACTTCGTCACGTTTTCACGCGAGTTTATAACCGGTGAAGAGTTAACCGATATCCATGTCGTTGAGGGCACCCTGTCATCGCCAAGCACATTCGGTACGACGGAGACGGTGACGGTACAAATGCCAGCTACCTATGAAAACATAACATATTTCTTCGCAATCCGTGCATTCGACGCTGCTGATAATACAGCTGCTCCTTCCAATATTATATCTACGGCCATAGTGGTTTCTACGCGAAGCGACGATGATTTTACAACAGAAAGCAGTGTCATTACTACTGCGGATGGCGTGGATATTATAGCCCCGACTGAATCGGAATCGGAATCAATATCAACAACAGTCATCGTTGCGGCGTCGGTAGTGGGGGCGGTGGTATTGCTGTTGTATAGTATGTGTGTCCTGGTAATGGCTAAATATATCTGCATCCGTCCCAAATCAGCCATTGCCCCAGAACAACCGACAGATTTCCAAATGTCGTATGGTAATACAGTTGTATAGCACTATCATCACAACACAGGGAGTGTCTATGAATCTCACTACAACGTATAGGCAATGTAACGAAAGAATAATAACGTTTTAACAATATATCTTGGAGTTATTCATATCATTAATACCTGAACTTTCCACTGTCTACGTAAACATGGCATATATTATATAATATGGTACAAACCTGGTATTACACAATAATCAGTCTTTTGTTGAGGCGGCAATAGCTGTGACTTTCGATTTTTTCCCTTATTGTTATTTTTTTTAAACATTCCCTGTGTCATTGGCATCAATTTGTAACGGTCGTCCCACAATGTTGACACTCAAAGCATAGCATATACGCTATCTACCAACGTTGTACATTCAATCACTTGTACGGTCGCTGGATTTCCAGGCCGCCGGAGGGCGCAATCCATGGAAATCCAGGTTTGTCAAGCGACTCGAATCCTCGGGGATTACGGCACAAGATGACATTTTCAAGTTCCTGTCAAATACGTCGACGATTTTGAGCGTCACCTGACAATAGTGTGACGTGCGTCGTGCATCTGAATTTTCTGTACGGCCTCAATCGCGTTACCGATTTCAACGATGTCGACTACTAGACCGTCAGTTTTTACGACGCATGTTACTATTATAGCATTGTCTAGTGGCATTTCTGTCCATGTGATTGTTTCTAAAACAATTTGTCGGTGACATTTATGCCGTCACTTTCCCTCAGTATCACCACGTGCATCTTTTCCTGCCATCGACCTCGTACGTTTATTTATGCAAATTTTAGTTTCGCTTCTTTACTACATTTACCTACTGAATAGAATGTATTTTGGAATGACCATTCTAGCTAAATATAGCACGTTGGTGAAATATATCTCTCATGTAAACAAGATTTATTTATTGTGTATGTTATTGTATTGTGCATGTAATGCATGAATGTTGTTATTTTATATTATGATTCTTAATACTTTGTTGTTTATATGGACAAATATAACTGATCATTCATTTCACAGTTACAGATTTCTACTTGATTTGTGTGATATTTTGATCGTTTTAACTATATTCATAGCTCTGAACTGATATTACGAGGTCAGTGCGGAAATCTATTTTAATATGATGATTTAATGTGTATATTACGTTTATTTTCTTTTTTCATTGAGTTATTTTTTTTGATAAGCTTGCAAATGATTCGTTTATAAATAAATAAATACATTTCAGACTAAGACAATTTTCATGTTTGATCAAAATTCCTAGTGAGTCGAACTGACAAAATTATTTGCCTAAACAATAATCACGACTGACGGGTGATTTGATACGGTTAGAAATCACACCTTCGCGTAGAATTGGAAAATAACGATTATGCAGATAGGACAGTTGGCAATAATAAAGATGTTTGACAACACTCTTGAAACAGGATAACTATATGACTGCGCACGGACAGTTTATCTGTAGAAACTCTGAGTAAATGATCAGCAGGACACACTCTATAAGGATACGTGAAATGCCTGGATGTGTTAGGTAAATCAAACTCTGGTCCATAGCTTGTCAGATACTTCAATCGAGAGTTAAAGTAAATGTATCAATGATGACAATACAGCCAACTCGATAGGAGATCAAAATGTTGATGGCCATCATGTGCCAAGTTGTACCACATACATTTAGTTCCAATCTTAGTTCCAACCTCAGCCGTAATAATCTTGCGCTTGTTAGTAATTTGCTTAAGTTTTTTTTTAAGACATCCAAACATCGAGTTCTACAAAACAAGATTTAGATTCAGTCCCATATAGTAAAACAAGTGAAACGTTTATCTAATATCCAATTGTACTAGTCGAAGAATGAATATAAAATTTAATGTTTTGTTTAAGGGTAACTGTCACTTCTATTAGTAAACAAATACTAGAAAAATGAATGAATGGCCCTTCCGTGGCTGAATATTGTAAAATGACTTTCACCGGGTTTAAATATTGTTGATTTACAATTTCAGGCATATTCAGTGGGTTTTAAATTCACGTTTTTATCATTTAGATAATGTGTTATATGCTAAATTTTAAATATTCAGTGTGTTTTAATTTAGCACATTTTCCAGTCAGCGAAATAAGCAAAATTAAAAGCCAGTGAATAATTAACCCCTTCACAGTACATAACTAAATATGTGTAGTGTTCGTTCAAAAATAAAACTGATATGTGTTTTTTCTAATGTCTTTATTTAAATAAGGACCCAGAACTAACACAATTATTAAGTCGGGCATAATTACAATTATTAATTACAACACCTGACAAAAAAACAAAACATATAAACATATGTGTTCGTCACATAAATATGCAATAATATACGGGGTAGACAAGTCACAAAAATATATATATATAAATATATGTTTTAGCAAAAGCATCTGCGCTCAATGTTGTTTGTATTTGTCCCAACGTTATTAAGATGCCAGCATATTCCCAAAAAAAAATGATTTGAAGATTTTTAAAGCTTGATGTGAAATGTCACTTCATTTCATTGTTCAGTATGTTTGCATAGAACCGTACATATTAGGATAACAATCAGGGTCCGTATTATTATATTTGTGTTGGTGGTATGGCTATCTCAACAATACAAGCATTAGAATCTCGTCTAATTTTGTTCGACACGTGTTGTGTCTTACGTATTCGAATTTGTGTCACTATGACGATAACGAAAACAATGATGACGAAAATGACGACGATGGCGCTCGCTGAAATTGTCCCAAATATCCATGGTTGGAATTTATGTCTAAACAAACTCATCGTTTTCAAACTTTCAAGATCGTCTGAAGTTGTTAAAACGAGTGTTACATCTGTTTCGTGAACCTTCTCGACTATATGTGGTTGTCGTCATTGCACCTGTCGAAGTAGCTGTCCGTACGTGTGAGTGTGTCGTCTGCAAGTTTGATGTTGCAGGGCTAAAAGGAATAGTGTCTGGTGACGAACTGAAATTGGATGAACCTTGATTTGTCACAGTAGTTGGTGTAGGGTCAACAGTAAATTTGTCATTAGTAGTAATAGTAGTATCAATAGTAGTCGTAGGCATTGATCCACGGTCGGGTTCCCAAGATTCAAAGCTGGTAGAGACAATATTTGACGGTTCCGCAAACAATCCAGCGTCATCAACAGCACGCACCGAAAGAGAGATTCTCAATGTCGATATGTACTCTGGTATTCTTACAACAAACAGCTCCGTCAAACCAGAGAGTTTAGGAGTTGAGAAATTACCTTCTATGACATAACTGTTATTCAGCGGCGTCGCAGATTGGAAATCGTCATACAACTCAGAATAACTTTCACCGACACGCAATTCGTAAGCTGCAGCTGGTATATAGAAATATATGTAAATCAGTCATTCGCCTCGGCTCCGACTCGGCTCATGTACACTATATTCACTTACTATAATAAGATTGGTTTTAGGATGAATATTATTTCACATAGTGTAGCTTTGCTCTTGTGATTGACAATTCAGTGCTAGTTTCTGAATTTCTGAGAATTAAAGTACGATGCAAAAAAGTGAAAGTCAGCTACGAGTATCAGAAATAAAGAGAACAAGATAGATGTGTATTATACCTGTTCCACGGTCCAGGTCGTCTCCTGGTGCAGTCCAACTCAGCGTGACGTGTCGTGTTTCCGACGACACCTCAACAATAGTCAACTCCGTGATTCTCGACGGAGGGTAGATATCTTCTAAGTTTTCGTCAGAGGTAGATTGATCGTAATTGTTTAGCTTAAATGCGCCTCCAGACACAACTCTATTGAAGGATTCTAACTGATCTGATGACGTATTCGTATTTGACGTAGGTGCAGTGGAATCTAGAAAAGTATAGCTTTGTTATTATAATTTTCTCAGGTTAATTTGGTTAATGAATATGTTAGGCTCATTTAGAATAACGCTTAGAGTGGTAACATTTCCTTTGTGTTCTTCAATGTTTGCATGTAGAAATGGATACTTATATCAATATGTTACGTACCTAATTATTAGGTCATTCATATACAAACTTTTAGAATCTCCTTGTGGATAAGTGGCATCATAATTTGATATCATTCAATATAAAGAAATTAAATTTTTTGTTCAGTAAATGTTGACTTCATACGTACCGTCGTCTACATGGATTGCACGATGACCACTCGCAGTAGGCAGCTTTAGTCTTGCATTGCCGTGATCATTGGTCACCACAACACGTACTCCATAGTATCCATTCGATGTGAAATCCAAAAAATAGACAGAATAAATGCCGTCTCCTTTTTCTATGTCGGACCCTAAAACATTTGAGTTGGACTGTTGTTTATGCTTATTAACTTCCGACCAGTATACACGTTATATTTCTGGATAATAACTTCTTTTTTTTTTTGTGAAATCTTAAATCCGGGACTTGGACGTTGAAGAAGTGTGGTAAACTCGCAATAAATAAAATATGTTTGTTTTTTTCAGCAAGTTAAAATTGTATTCATCGAAATTGATGTACTCACCAGAACCATTGTCGAGTAATGATATTGCAATAGTACTTCCTTGCTCGTTAGTTGTAGCTGGTGGTCTGTCAATCAAGGCTGTGACGTCAGAATCGAGGATTGGCTGATATCCTTTGCTTACTTCAGCATAAATTGTGACCTGTTTTCTGTTCAACGTAGTCAATTTCTATGTTGCTAAGATATGACGACACTTTGATGATCTCACTGGCTACGAGACGTGAGCGTGAACTAACTGAAACAGTCACCACTTGTGATATGAAATGCTGGTTTCCAATGGTAAAGTTCCACTCGCCAGGCTGAAACAGGGAGACAACACTACGATAAAAACTT